GTGTGAAAGGTAATAATAATAATAATTTATTTAAAATATAAATAGTTGAAAGGTTTTTGTTTGAGTTTGAGTGTTCAATCAGTAAGTTTTCTTTTGTGATTATATCATGTTTGGAGGAACATAAAGTTATAGTTTTGAAATTATATACAAAAGTAGAGTGATTGGTGTTTTCACTGTCTATACAGAGAGTAGAAGCACGATGATTTAAAAGTTTCATTTTTGCTCGAAAACCTTGTTTACAGCGCCACATATTTGTAAATGGCGTAAGGTTTTTGGCAATATAGGTGGTCTTAAATTCGCCACAAATTTGTTAGTAGACGAATCATAAATGCGGGGAAGTAAACAGAAGGTTCTTAGTTTGAAACATGTTTCAAAATCTCAAGGACGGTTGGAAAATCATGACTAATAAAAAGACTTAATTGATTTCTGAAGTTGAGTTCTTATATGAATGCTTTGGAATTTGAGATGTGCAAGGTTTCTTAACAGGCATATATTCTTTGGCACTATAGTTAGCTTCCAGAAAATGCAGGGATAACAATGTTTTTGAAAAAAAATGAATGATGGCCTGGCATGGCTTAATGGTTAGGGCACTCGACTGGAAACCTGTCACTGAACATGCTCACCCTTTCTGCCGTGGGGGCGTTAATAATGTTACGGTCAATCTCACTATTATTTGGTATAGAGTAACTCAAGAGTTGGCGGTGGATGGCGTTGACTAGCTGTCTTTCCTCTAGCACTTCTGAATTAGAGACGGCTAACGCAGGTATCCCTCGAGTATCTTTGCAAGAAATTCAACGAAACAAAATCTAAATGAATGGTAAGCTCTGTTTAGGAAATTTAATAAAAGATTGTTTGAAGGCGTTTTTGATGTACTTACGATCTTAATACGCTTACAATTTGCAGAAAAAATTTCATAGATTTTCTGTATAATTTTCACTGTGTATATTTTTACAGATTTTTAATGATGGAATTTATAGATTCCAAAACGTTTGATTAAACATGTTTATAATTGTTGCAGTGATGTTTCTGTTCCTGTTATAGATTGCTTTGTTATAAATCCTTGTGACATTTGTACAACTTCGCTTTAAAATTGATGTGTTATGTATGACAGATTATAAGTTAGGTTTATAAAACTTAATGTGAAAAAACATGAATGGAAACTATGCAAATTTACATGACATTTGAAGGTAGAGATAATATATTAGATACTGTGAGCATTTATCTAAAACTTAGTGTTAAGATTTAGTCAAATCAAGATGTTCAACTTGTTCATGAAATTTAGATCATTTTCAAGATTCTTGTAATACTTCTTAAAAAAATCAACTTTTGTTTGCAATTATTTTTGCATACATTTCATAGAAATAATCGATTCGAGCGTCGTTAATAACAGTTTCTGCTTCTCCTTTTATAGACGTATAAATCGGTTTTCAAGCATGCTAAACACATTGTAATTGCAAGCTTGAATAACGTAGACTGATTTTATACGCCGGTGATAGTGATATAACATTTCGCGTGGATTACTGCAGACGAGTTATTCATCTTTAATGTTAGAGGGTGCTCACCTCATTAAAACTGTCTGAATTAAATGAGAAAAGTAGCCTTCAGAAAATTTCAGCTACAGCATAATAGAGTTTAATCAAAGATCCATTTTAATGCTACTTAAACTTTTTTTTTTTTGGTAATTTGATCACGCACTGAAACTGTAATTTTGTGTATACTGAAATTATGTAATAATAATAAAACGTATTTTGGTCTTCCCATATTCAAACACACGCTTCTTACCATAAAGAATGTCTTATCACTCCATCACTTAAATAGCTTTTTGTTAATCATGTTAATCATAAGCGTTACTAAATTCTTCTTGTTTGGTAAGTTTTAAAAATCAACTAGAATTTCTTTCCTGACTTATATTTTTAGCTGGTATTTGGTTTTTCAAGTACAAACTTTTAGCTCATAGCTCCGTCATCTCTTCACCGTTTTGAGATCAAATTACAATTTTGGATTCAAAGAGGTCAAACCCTTTCGATTAATGTATTTGACCACGCCCAAGGTCTCATAGATTAATATGCTCAAATCCTGCCTGAAAGAATTTCAAGTGCCGCTGCTATTGAGGACTCCCTTTTGTTTTTCCACTATTTTAATATACGTGTCTTTTAATTTCAGTTTCTTTTTAGTAGCTTGTTTAGAATATGCCATCTGATGCCATTTTGAAAACCAAATGTTTACTAGTGGTTAGCGTGCCGGACGTGGATCTGAGGTTCCGTGGTTATCGCCAAAAAACAAACGAAATTGGGTTCTGCCCTCGGGGCAGTCAGTGTTATAAGAGTTACGGTCAAATCTCACTATTTGATAAGATTAATTTATGAGTTGGCGGTGGATGGGGTTGTCTATCTGCCTTCTCTCTAGTCTAACACTTTAAGATTAGGGACGGCTAGCGCAAATAGCTCTCTATTAGCTTTGCGCAAATTCAACAATCAACAGATACAATTAATTGACCTTGTGATAATACAAATTCGTCCCTAATTTAGCAGTGTAAGACTAGAGGGAAGGCAGCTAGTCATCACCACCCACCGGCAACTCTTGGGCTACTCTTTTACCAACGAATAGTGGGATTGACCGTCACATTATAACGTCCCCACGGTTGAAAAGGTGAGCATGTTTGGTGTGACGGGGATTCGAACCCGCGGCCCTCAGATTTCGAGTCGAGCGCCCTAACTCACCTGGCCATGACTTTCACATTATAACGCACCCACACAAAAAGAATAAATTAACACTAGGAAGATATAATTGAAACGCTTTAATTATAGGAGCATAAAAATCAAATCACCAAAATTGAAAATCATAATGAACGTAAAAGACAACTATTATTATTTTTTTATATTCTGTAAAATAAAGGATTGGATACCCATATCCAAGTATGTTTTTCTAATTTATTTAATTATTTACTCTTATGAAAATTTTGTTTTTTGTAAAATATAAATTGTTACTTTATATACAAGTTTATACGCCTTTTCCTTTTTATAGGCTTCATTAATCTCCAGTTACGATTTATTAGGTCTAGGAGCTTAACTCATTGTACTAAGGCCACGCAACTTTTGCGTTAGACACATACTGTTGATAATAATACGACACTGTAACGTAGAACGTATGAAAGCCAGTTTCTTAAGCCTACTGAAGTAAAATATAAGTTCAGAGAATATTAATACTTTCTTTACCAAGTTCTTAAGAAGAAGGAGAATGTAATCGGCTTAATTTTACTCAACTCCCGTGGAACAGACGGGTTTCGAAGATTACCTTTTCTTGTCAATAACTCAAAGCTAGGAGGAAGCACAAGACTTCAATCAAACCTTATTTAAAGCAGCATATTTCAACTAGTGTTTTACGCCATCATAATTGGAAGTTTCACCAATAGGGTGTCGGAAATATCTTTCAGGATAGACGGGCAGTGTCTTTGTCTGATATGTAACATGAAAAAGATTTGAAAAAGCTCTATACAATCAAGCTGTTACTAAAACTAGTCAACTAGAAGTATGAGGAATAACAAACGAGAAAAACATTCTTAAAATGGTGAATTTAAACTACAAGCCAAATTTACAAAGTGATTATTTGTACATGCAAATTACCTATATTTTATTCTCATTTAGAGACGAAGGTATGGGTATTTGTCAAGTTTTTATATCTTTTATGCTCAATTATTTATTTGGCATAGCACGGTAGGTCGTGAGATCGAAACCCGTCACCGAACGTGCTCGCCCTTTCAGTCGTGGGTGCTGTTTAATATGACTGTTAACTTCCATAATCGCTGGTAGAAAGTAGCCCAAGAGCTGGTGGTGAGTGCTGTTGACTAGCTGTCTTCCCTCTATTACTGCTAAATTAGAGATGACTTGCGCAGATAGCCCTGGAGTATCTTTGCATGAATTTCAACAAAACAAGCAAACGATTATTCTCTCATCAAGCAAGATGGTTATAGATAAGAATAAATCAATAAATGTGTTGTTTACAAAAATATCCACCTTCTCCTAATTTATAAGACAAACGCAAATTCCATAAAATGTTTGTATTTATGTCAGATTATTAATGAGGAAAAATTTTTGTTGTGTATTTATCAGAAAAATCAGTTTCCATTTTGATCGAGGAAAGCGTGGTTTAGCGTGTTCCTTACCTTAAAATCGAAGGCACGCGATTTACTATTTGATTAGTTTGATTTAATGAAATTTAGCATGAGGACACATGTTACTAAGATCTAGATTCTAAAAGATTGTTCAATTATTACTCCAATTAACGTCATGTGTTCTGACCAAGGTAACATCATAAAATCGAATTTGACATTAATTGTTGAAGTAGCTATATTCATAAATTAGATTAAGTGATAGGAATTGTCCGATTGTGTTTTTGACCGAAAATGATATTATTAACGTTTTGATACAAATTAATAACTGGCCATGCGTTTGTAAAAACGAGGGAATTTATTGATTGCCGAAAATGAAATCATATTTATTAAGTATCACCATATTTGCCAAAATGTGTCGTGATATATTTCCAGGCAGTTTGTGGTATAGTTTGATTCACAGAGAAAGAGTTGTTGGTTAATTAGTTATAAACTTTACAATAGTGAAACAATAAAACTAACAAGTGTTAGAGTGTTTGTAACATAACTCGTTACAATCAGGCAGTGACGAGATGCATTTAACTTTCAAAGCAGGTGTCTAAAAATAAAATTTATATCTTTTCGAAGTATACAGAGAAGGCAAAAAGAAAGTACTCGATTAAACATTTTCAATGCTCCTAGATTAACTGGACACACCAAATAGATAACGCACTAGGATACTTGATGAATGAATTAGATCAACTTACTCATCGTGATGAATCGAATACTTTGTAATTTGGCAAGTTTTTGTGTTTAGCATTCTCTTAGTTATTGCTCGTATAAGAATATTGATTTTGTGTATGTGTGAGTGTTATCCTATCTTCTAAAATTGCTTTTTTCTGTCTCCTTGTAGCATTAAACGAACCAGCTGTATGCCTTTCTGTCTGCTACAGAGCTGGTGAGTAAAACAAAAAAGTCATAACGTCTAGGATTCAGGATAGCAGCTTGTTTTGCTCTTTTATATTTGATAAACAAAAACTAAACAGTATTATATTTCTGATATGAGACTAAGTATCCACTAGTAAAACCGCTTTTGTCTAATAGAAAGTTACTCAAAGAACTCCATCTTTTTACCTCTTTTTATTCTACTATGGAACTCCAATGAACTTAATCAGCACTACTATATACTGTATTTAATTTGTTTTCAGAACTAGATAATTATACTTCACAAAATTGGTAGTTCAGAAATAGCTCCTAGTCAGTGTTTCTCCAAGATATTTGTTCAAAACTAGATGTCTCGACCAGTGTTTGTAAGCAAAATGCATCACTAGGGCTTTAGTTCAAACTAACTTTTGCAATTAAGTGCTTGAAAATGAGACCTCACCAAAGTAATAGTTCAAAATTAGCTATCCAATGGCTCCTAATTAGCGCCTGTGAGTGATGCTTTATCAAGACAATAGCTCAAAACTGCCCATCTCGTGATTCCTAATTAGCGCCTGTGGCTAACACTTCATCAAGGTACTAGCTATGTCATCAAGCGCTTTTAGTGATGATTTATCAAGGCGTTAATTCATAATTATCCATCCTAACCACTGTCTGTAAGTGATGCTTCGCCATAATGCCAATTTAAAGCTATTCACCAGGATTCCAGTTCAAACTAGCTCCCCCCCCCCTCTAACCAGCACTTGTAAGTGATGCTCATCAGGGTGCCAGTTCAAAGTTGTTTACTGGGGTTCTTATTCGAAATTAGCTGCCCCAATCTGTACTTGTAAGTAGTGCTTTACCAAGTTCTCAGGTCGAAACTAACTGTTACAACCACGTGCTTCAACGGAGTACTAGTTCAAAACTAACTGTCCAACCATATACTTCATCAAAGTGCCAGTTCGAAATTAGCTGTCACAAGTAGTGCTTTTAAGTAATGTTTCATCAGGATGCTAGTTATCCCAACCAGATTCTTTACCAGAGTACTAGTTAGAAATTAACTGTCCCAACTACATGCTTCCTCATAGCGCCAGTTCGAAACCAGGTGTCCCAAGCAGATGCTTCACTAGAGTACTAGTTCGAAACCAGCTGTAACAACCAGTGCTTCTAAGTGACATTTCACCAGGATGCTAGTTGAAAGCTATTCACCAGAGTTCCACATCAGTTCAAAACTAGTTGTCTCAATCTATGTTTTACTTATGCTTCACTCCTAGTCCTTGAAATTGATGTTTCGGCAGAGTCCAAGTTCAAATCTACCGGCCCTATTTAGTTGTAGTGAGTAACAAAGTTAATAGTTCAAAACTAGCCCCAGTCAAAGATGAAGAGTGAACATTCAATAAACTAGTTGCACACTAGCAGGCCCATCAGTTCTAGAAGATTATGCTTCACCAAGTTCTGATTTCAATGTAATAGCTTTGTTTTATTGAAGTGTTTGACATAATGCCATAAGAGACATATTCGAATTAACATTTTTTCTGTGTAAACACAGACTTCAGTAAGAATAAGGGTTCTTATGTATTAGTTTGTTGTATTTCACTAGTATTAATTTATACCTGTTTTATTTTTTGTGGTTTGGTTCTTTTGTTTGTGTTGTTTTAAACAGTAAGTGTCCTCAAAAAAACATCAAAAGATCTATTTTCCAATAACTTTTATATTTTCTTCTATGCCACAGGTATACGGTAACCATTCACGGCCGATCTCTCGGACATCAAGCTTTTCCCAGCCTCTAAACCAATAAACATGCTTAGCTATTTCTCCCTTGTCCTGAACAGCAAGTTATGAAAATATGCAAGTTTCTTCTATTGATTCCTCTTTACCTTTGACCTGCTTACATCTGCTCTATATTAAAAACTCAAAACTGTAAATAATTCCCAGTATTTGTGAATGGTACATGCACTTTAACACCATTTTTCATTTAGAGTCGGTACTGTCATAAATTTTTGTTCGTTTTCGTGTTAAATTATTCATCGTTTTTTTTGTTGTTGTTTTTTGAAAATGACGATGCACAATTATAACACTCATGAAATTGCTTTACTAATGTACTTAAGTTTTTGTGTTGTTAACTTCAAAGATTTACTTTTTAAATTAATTATTAGATGGCAGTTAATAAACTTGTAAAAGCTAGTTTACTAAAATCATGATCTGATGAAAATTTGTTATAGATTTGTTACACGAAATTATATTTTGTTTTCACTGTTCAGACTCGATAAATATTCTTAAACAACCTCTGATCTGAATGAATAATAACAAATGATGCAACTCTTATGAAAAGTAAGCTTCAATTTTTTTCATATATACCTACATTGTTCTTTTATTACTATTATGTGAATGTAAGAACTGGGTTGTCTGTTCTTCCTTTTCTTATTGCACATGTGTGTAGATTTAAGTAGATTCCATCGATAGACGTGTGATTTTACCTGCCAGGACTGTTTTGACCTGGTACTGGTCAAACCAGCAGTTCTCAGCTGGTCATGGTAGGGAATCACCGCCTAATGTAGGCTTATATCTCAGAGAACTGAGCTTTTTTGTTAATAATACAACATGTCAAAGGTAGCAGGTTTATATATATATGTATGTATGTACAAGTATTGTGTGTATGTTGCGTGACTGTGTAATCTTTGGTGAAGAAATTACTTGAAAATACTTTCTAAGTTGGCTGAGCATTGCGAAGTATAGTTAACAAGAATCTTATTTTATTAAACAAAATATTAGCTTTACGAGTATTTCTTATAACCCTGTGAACTTATTTATTCATCTGAACAGTTATTGCATTTTAAGCTTCTTTAACGTTTTGTCATAAAAATAAAGTAATTGCTTTCATCAAGGTTTGAGAAACTCATTTTTATAAAATTTCACATAGGTCGTCATGAATAGGACATATACATATATATTCTTCCACACATACATACAAATAGTCACACACACACACACACACACCAGCTTGATAAGGCATAGTGATTTTTTTGTTTTTACAAGTTTATCATGCCATTAACATGATGGATTATTTGAAACCCTTTAAATAGCTTGAACTAATCATTTCCATTATTGTGAACTTGAGAGTATCTGCAAATTAGAGAAGAGATTATACGTCCTCAAATTTCGCATTGTTATTGAGTTTTAATAAAAATATCTCGTTGAAATAGATATTACTAGGCTAATTAGAACACTTAGTAAGGAGTTACCAAAATGGTGTAGAACTAGACCAATTGGAACTCTTAGGAATGAATTACCAAAATGGTGTGGAACTAAGCCAATTGGAACTCTTGGGAAGGAATTACCAAAATGGTGTAGAACTAGACCAATTGGAACTCTTGGGAAGGAATTACCAAAATGGTGTAGAACTAGGTCAATTGGAACTCTTAGGAAAGAGTTGCCGAAGTAATGTAGAACTAGGCTAATTGATACTCTTAGGAAGGAATTACCAAAATGGTGTAGAACTAGGTCAATTGGAACTCTTAGGAAAGAGTTACCGAAGTATTGTAGAACTAGGCCAATTGATACTCTTAGGAAAGAATTACCAAAGTGGTGTAAAACTAGGCCATTTATATTCTTATGAAGAGGTTATCAAAGTGGTGTAGAACTAAGCCAACTGATATTCTTACAAAGGAGACACCAAAGTGGCGTAGAACTAGGACAATTGATATTCTTATGAAGGAGTTACCAAAGTGGTGTAGAACTGGGCCAATTGATATTCTTGTGAAGGAGTTACCATAGTGGGCTAGAACTAGGCCAATTGATATTCTTATGAACGAGTTACCAAAGTGGTGTAAAACTAGGCCAATTGATATTCTTATGAAGGAGTTACCAAAGTGATGTAACACTAGGCCAATTGATATTCTTATGAAGGAGTTACCAAAGTGATGTAACACTAGGCCAATTGATATTCTTACGAAGGAGTTCCCAAAGTGGTCTAGAACTAGGCCAATTGATATTCTTATGAAGGAGTTACCAAAGTGGTGTAGAAATAGGCCAATTGATATTTTTATGAAAGACTTACCAAAGTGGTGTTGAACCACTGAAGTGCGTAGAAGAATGACTAGTCTTAGCTTTTTAGGATGAACATTATATTGTACCATTATATCCTCTGAGGTACTTCACTTGAATATCAGTTCTATCGCATTATAGTCCATGAAATATTAGATGTATGGCGGTAATACAGCAAACTTGAAACCAGTTAGTGTAAATCTTAGGAACTGTAACCACTTCTTTTATGGCGTTCATTGATCTTGGATCTAGAAAACTAAAATTTATGAATTTCTTATACTTATAAAAACTGATTATCTTTTGCTTTACTCTCTGACTAGAGGACTAATCGGAATGACTTTCATGACTATATAAAAGTTAAAAAATTATAAAGTCGTTACTCGAAAGACCATTGAAGTTTCAAAAATTTACAAAAAAGTGTTTATCATGGTGTTTCGTTAAAATAAACCTTCAGTGATGGTCATGGTGTGTTTTAAGACAGTTTTATTGACTCATGTTAATGGCACGGTTTAGTCATTCGAGTTAAAACTTCACTATGTTTTAAAGTATTACCAAATGAGATAAGTGTTGTTATTTGTAATTTGTATTTGGCTATGAAATATGTTATTTGTACTATTCCCCTGCCCCTTCAAAAAACATTTTTATTGTAAGAAAAATGAAATGCAGTTGCTTATTTTGTGTCTTCCTAGATTGTATTGCAAGTTTCTACTTATTTTGAATCGTGAGAGTTTAATGTTATGAGCTTAGTTTAAACTGTAGTAAACTTCAGAAAGGCATAATCGTTGTAAGACAGAGCTAAATCATGTTAAATCCAACTGAATTTCAGCTTTTATTACAACATGTTTCGTCAGTGTTTTTTTTTCTTGTAGGTTATGATATTTGTGTTTGCCATATCTTATAATTTTAATTACAATTACAGTGCGTGTACTCACTCATCATATATATACGTATATATTTATAGCATGTTAGAATTACAAACTTCAAAAATAAGTATTACATAAAAGATGAGTGTAGTAACTTGTATTTTCATGCTCTTTAAATATTTGTCCTGACAATATGATAAACCGTTTGACCTTCCAATTATCGTGCTTATTCGGTTGTGACGAATATTTTCTGTATTTAAATACAAGTGTGGTTAAAGCACTTGAGATTAGTAATGTCAGAGCATTGCACAGAAAATAGTTCATGGTATTAAGAAATCACATAGGATCAAAATTAGATAAATGACAAAACAAAAACTTGATCTTCTTTTAAAGTAAACCTTCCTTGTTCGGGGGTGAACTGGATTATTAATGAAGATATTCTATAAAGCGTAGTTAACTCATGTCTATTTATTATGCTGTAATTTACTTTATGGTGTTCGACATTTCAAATTATATTTGTTTATTTTTGTCATCATTTTGTATAACACCATTATATACATGTCACTTGATAACTAGAAGCAAGCGTGTTTTATTTCACTTTTCTATCAAATAAATTTCTAGAACTTATGGCAGGTATATGAAGACAAAGCATGAAAGGCCACAATGCTCGTATGACAGAAAAGTTTGTTATAATTAGAATTAATATATTTTGGAATTATTATAATTTAAACCTTCTTCAGCCGTAATTCAGCATGATTGTACTCTAATATCGACGCCCACCTGACAACTTAAATAAGTTGGTGTTATCACAATGAGCTTCGCATGTTTTCCAAGAATAAGATATTTCGTAGTTCTTGTTTTATATTCTATTGTCACTAGAAACTTCACATTGTTGTTCAGAGAATCGACGTGTTTTATAATGTGTCTCTTCTGTGTATATTGGATATTCATATGTCGGTGGAGGATGATGTAATTTGTACGGGTTTAGTTGTTGAAGGATAGTAACTGTTTGAAACTATAACTAATTCCTAATTATGGACAAATATATCTAATAATGATATAGTGAATACTAGTACTACTTTATAGTTGTCAGTGAGCACTTATCTGTTGAATAAAATAAAAATATCAAATAAGAGTTGAGACCCATGTTAAGAGATATTTCAACATTTAAAATCTTTAGGACTTTTCTCCAATTTAAAACTATTTTATTTCTTTATTGTTCGTCGAAGGTTCTAGTAACTCAACCAAAATGTCGCGGAAATAATACAAAATATAAACGCGGAGGAATATCTTAAACTTTATTTAATGGAGAACTATTGACCTTAGCTGGTAGTGTATATAGAATACTCAGTGTTGTAGTATACTAACTTTGAGTAAACATATCCAGTATTTTGATGGTGTATCATTCTAACAGCAGAATAACTTTCGGGTTCGAAGATGTTATGGACAAAGCCAACGTAACAACTGTTTTGTTTCCTCATATTTTAACTCAAGTTTGTAATACTTATTGAAAGTTTTAGTTTGCGTTTCTACTGACGTTATGCAATTGTTGATGTTAGTTGGTTATCACATGGGGCCTCGATCTCGTTTTACGTTGTATTTAATTGCAATTGATATTTTGTGTTTGAAAACTTTTTTTTTGTGATTGGAAACGCTGCCCTACTTCAGAATGCGAAAAAGCATCACACTTCAATATTTACGTATTGTATTGATGATAAATTCACTAATGTAACTGATTTTTGTCACCTAGTGACGATCGATGTAATTGTTTACAGGTGTTAATAAAGTATGTAGCTTACTCTGTATTTCAAGAAGGCTGATTCTTTGTTGCAACAGTTATAAATTAAAAGCAGTTTCCATTGTTCTAACATTAAAGACATATTTAATAGAGAAATCACCAATGAAATTTCTGTGCCGACCTAACGGTAGAAATTTGAATAAGGAAAAATATCATGGATTTACAAAGGTTATACTTATGTTAATTTCGGTAGTGATTAACAGTTCGATGTTTGCTAAATGAACAATGTATTTTATATCAAAGCTAGAAAAGATGTTGAACATGCTATAGTTTGATAACGTTCACTAGTGGTGCCGTTAGTTCCGTGAACTACGTTATTTCTAGAACCACGAAGAGTCAAATGAAAACTAAATTGTCCAATACTGTTCTATGATTGGTCCAGTTCCAGGAATAATTCTTGAAATGGATCATAAGAGGAAAAAAGGGTTAAATAACAGAGTATTTTCATCTATTTAGTTTTAACTACGTCATTGAAGTCAATTTTGCGTCAGAGATTCATTTGGAAAAATGAACTCTCATTGAACTGTAGAATATCAACCGTAATTTTAATGACAAATCATGAATATTCCAGAAACCGGTTGTTAGGCTTAATATATTTCTTTATCTTTAAAAATAAAACAAAAGAACTAGACTGTTTCTGTTGTAGAAAAATTAGTTTTTTTTTTTTTTGTCTAAGATGTCATAGAGTGAAATAAATTTATCTTCCTCTCTGGTTTATTCCAATAGTTAGATGAAAATAAGGCTTTTACAATTTAAACTGTGACAGATGTTACTTATACAATTACATCGCGTGTAATAATTGAGAAACAGTACAAATTGCACCACGATTGTATCTTTAAGCGTCATTTCTGATAACTTTAGAAATATATATATAAACTTTTCTCTCTGTCTTTTTTTTTACCTGGTATGGCTTAGTGAGTAAGGCTTTCGACTCGCAATCTGCGGATCGCGGAATCGAACGTGCTCGCCTCTTCAGCCGTGGGGGCGTTATAACGTAACGAACAAACACACGTTTCGTTAGTAAAGAGTAGCCCAAGAGTTGACGGTGGGTGATGTTGACTAACTGCTTTCCCTTTAGTCTGTCACTTCCAAATTAGGGACAACTGGTGCAGATAACCCTCGAATAGCTTTGCACAAACTTCAACAAACAAACACATTTTCCAATATTTTATGTGCTAACTTAACTTCCATAGGACGTACTTGTATTTTTGTTTAGAAAGTAAACATTCTAATTCCTTGCTGTTGTTTCAACACTGTTAATTTGATACTTTGTTATTGCTTACATTTTTGCAGCACAAGCTTGACAGTTTTTTGTTGTTGCTATTTCTATAGTGTAAGCATCTTATTGTTGTTCCTGATGTACAAATAGACAATATTGTTCTGTTTCAACAGTTTACAAACAATATCTTGTAGAACATGTTATTCTTTCTACAGATCATATTTATATATTTGTTCCTTTTTAGTGACAATTCTAACATATTTATTACACTCTAGTTTCTAACCATTGCTTATCTCTATAGTATCTTGTTTCCTTCGTGTAGTTCAGAATCTACTATTATATATATGTTATTATTCTTTCTAACACTCAGTCTGAAACTTTGTGTAAAGTCAGAGATTTGTGACGTTATAATATTTGCAACAGAACAAACAAACTTAAGTAAAAATAGAAGCAAGCTTACATATTGTAGTAGTACTCACTATATCAGTGCCATCTTTTTTCTTAAGGATCGTTTATCACGTAAAATACAAATACAGAAAACCTAAATTCGGTACTTACATTGTAAAAACCTAACTCCCGAACGTAATAAGAATTTAAAAAGTTCAAAAATCACAAGAGTTAAATGTTTTTCTTGATAAAATCTTATGAGTGAAATTCAAGAAATCAAACTAAAATATTCTCAAATTAAATTATACATTAGTTTTAACTTCCGTTACTGCACGCCGTTCTCTAACGAATGTTTTATTCTCGTTCTTTTTAAATGTCGGACCTTAGTACACATTATAAATATACCAATCGTATAGTTAAGCTTAAAACATTTCAGGACTGAAAGGTCTCCCTACCAAAGTCATATACATAGCAAAGAGTTTGTTTTATATCTACATTAACCACAAGCATTTTTTTACAACTTAAGTCACATGTGTTGTTAATAAGCAGATTTGAACATTTGATCATGAGATAATTCCATTGTCAAACTAATGAAAACACATTTATTGGAATCGTATTGAAAGGCCATTCTGTGTTGTCTTGTACTGAAAAAGAAGCAAAGTTGTTGTTGGAAAAATATTATTGACGTTATTTATTACACAAAACCAAATAAAACGTCCACGTAAGCAGTCTTAATGGGAAGAGTTTATTCATTTTTTCCTAAATACAAGGATCACAAAACCTCATTAGATACAAGGAACTTCTAAAGGGAAATAATCAATATTTTAGCGGACAAATCTGTAAAATTTTCTTTGAGTTTTTAACTGAATATAATTTATTTAATAGAAAGCTTTCAATTGAAACGGTTATCTTTTTATTTAATACTTACCTTTGCACATTTGTTATTTTTCCATTAGCAAGGCCTAAGATAAACGTTTCCTTTTTATTTTATTGATAATTACATAACATACGGTTTCTACTCGGCTTTAGCTAAAAAAGAACAGCATAATATAACGTCATCACAATATCACACGTAATTTTATCATATTTTGATAATGGGGTTTCTTAACATTGATCAGTAAATTTTAGAATTGAGAAGTAAGACTTTTTAAATGCACGATATAGTCACCTAATTCATCTATTTTTACATCAACTAAACATAGGAGAAATCTGCATTTCAAAACCTTATTACCTACCTTTATCTCAATCAAGAAATAAAGAAGTAGCCTTTAGCTAACTACATTATTGAAAGTCATTTGATAATTAATCACGGTAAGTGCAATATGCGTTTTGCAACTGAGTAACTAAACAACAAGTTAAATATAGCAATACAAAAACTGCTTTCAAAGTCATTTGTTTGCAAGGTTTTTAGAATTGTTTTCCTAAAAGTGAATCACAAATTCTAAAAATTGCAACCTAATCGAATGAGCATATTTTGAATTATTTAAAAACAGAGTTTCATATAAAACAAAATAATTATATAACTAGCTATCAAATACAACCTTCTTAACACGCTTTAAATTCTGATATAGTAGTAAACTGTGTATGATTAATTTTATGATTTAAAGAAGATTAAATAAAGTTTAAAATGAAATTCAACCAAGCAATGAAGACTAAGAAAATGCAATTATCTTCTCTGATGTGGAAAACCTATGTCGGCCTGTCCAGGTTTATTCTAGATTATTTCATCGATCTTTGCATTGTCTTATTATATATTCAACTGGATATATTTGAGTTTTTTATATATATATATAACAATGTTGATCAATAAAAACCTTTGAGCAATTCTTTGTAGTACTGAAGATGTTTAATCAATTATTATTGCTTTAACTTTAAAAAATTATCTCATTTTAATTATATTTAATGCACTTACATTAAATAGATTTTCAACATTCAAGATTACGATGCTAGTCCCTAATTCATATCTTAATATACTGAAACTAAAAATTGAATTGATTATAGCAGTAGTGTGATTGTTCTGAATAAGCTTTTAGTTATTGCTGTTCAACTTGATTAATAATTTCATAATGATTTAAAGTGAAATGTATTGATAAACTCCCCTAACTGAAGTAATTGAACGTACCCTTCTAGGAAGTTCTGTGCTTTATACAGAGTAGATCAAAATCAGTATCCCTGATATTATGGAACAAAATTCCATCTTTATTGTAAATGTTAGTTATTCAGCAAAATTTTAGCTTTAATTAATTAGAAATAAATAAAAATATTAGTTAAATTAATATATAAGGTTACTTTTGATTTAGTGCTTTGAATGATTTAATAATAGGACCAGGGTAAGGTAGTAAAAAACATTTTAGAAATACAGCATACCAAAGAAAGAAATTGACTTTTTCTACTGCTGACTATATAAATATAAAATACAAAACGATAACAGGAATCTGATTTATATATGTTTTGTTGTAACATACAGATAAACCTGGACTTTCTTTAAAAAGGAAGAAAATCTGAATCTTTCTGTTGCTACAAAAATTAAGGCATATAATATTTTGATGATCCTCTTACTTAAAAATAAAACACGATCATTAGATTTCTCAACAAAGTAAACAAATAAATCAAATCTGGATGATGCTATTTTTTATAACAAGAAACCATGAAAACTCTTGGATCACTGTACACAAAGAAACCAGAAGAAATCGTTAAGGAAAATCCATGTAAGGAGAAACTAACATTCTGGATCATTTGACTTCTTGAATTAGGCATCTGGATTATTCTGTTCATTATAAGAGGAAAACAAAGAATAAACAAGTTTAGTCCTTTTCGTATAAAACCAAAACATATCTAGACATTTCTGACCCTTTTATTATAAAAGCATTTTATTCTTCCTAACATAAAAATCTATAGAACTGTGGATCATATTATTCTTTCGTAACCCCCCCCCCCCAGTGGCACAGCGGTATTCTGTGGACTTACAACACTAGAAACCGGGTTTCGATACCCGTGGTGGGCAGAGCACCGATAGCTCATTGTGTAGCTTTGTTTCGAACGAACAAGTTATTCTTCATGAATGGGGACCATAAAAAAATCCATATAATGTTGATCTATTGCAATGAATGTATACATAAGGCTGTATAGTGTTGTTTAATATGGCAAGTCAATTAACATTTCTGAATAATTCTTTTCCCTGAAACAGAAAAAAAATATAAGAATTGCTAATATTCTATTTCTTGTGTAAGAAAAACTATAAAAAAACTTTTATGATGTTGAATTATTAAGATAGCAAGATCATTATCTTTCTTTAAAAAGTACCAGACAATAGTTATATAAGATATTCTTTTGTAGAGAAGGATTAATTAAAAGGTAGAAAACAGCTGATAATGTTATATAATTCTCATAGAAAGTTGTTTCAAAATGTTATATTCATAAAAAGCAATTCTGAATAAACTGTTTGTAAGCAACGATATAAATACACGAACTGTTAAACATCAGAATAGCAAGTTGACAAATAATTTATAAACTAGCGATGAAGAACGTTTTGGAAGTTCGACTGTCAAACTTGTCACCACCATAACTTAACTCGGGGTAAGTTTTATTTGATAGAGATATCACCGTTATTTGAGTAATAAACAAAACTGAAAACAAAAAGACTGAAAACACTCGGTCCAGTGTTTGTGTATGAATGTTCACCACTAGCCCAGAGGGGGATTGGTTCTCTACACTTAGAACATTAAAAATCAAGAGGAATTTTAAGATATAATTCCACAAGAAGTGTAAAAATCCATATATATCTAACATGCTAGAAGAAACAACTTCCAAGAACTCAATTATCACGACGTGACACAATAAATATAAGCTTTCACTACACTTTAAATGAGCATTGAATAATTCCTCACCAATCACATCTAGCCCGACACATAAAACATGCATTTTGTATTTATTGTTGAAACATTATTAACATTGTTGGTTGTCTTCAAATTATCCATTTAAAAATAACGTATATTTCATTAACAGTGTCAAAGTGTCTTTAACAATGTTCCATAAGTTATTCAATTTCCAACTTATTTTCACCTCGACTGAATTAAATATTGTTGATAACAGCATATCATAATAACATATCCAGTAAGAAGATTTGTGTAAGACCATTAAAGAAATCAATGATACACATAATACTCTTTACATCATATCGGATCTTACTAAGTGACAGTTGAATATCGATCGCTTAGCGACAGTCAAACATTGACAGCTAATAGCAAAGTCAACCTAGAAGTCAACACTGGCAATTAAGTAACAGCGGGACAAAACCCACCTAAAAATAACCAAACACTGACAGATAAGTAATAGCGGGTCAAAGCCAACGTAGAAATAACCAAACACTGACAATTAAGCAACAGCGAGAACAAAGCCCAACTAAAAATATTCAAACACTTAACAGCTAAGTAATAACGGAGACAAAGTCAATCTAGAAATAGCCAAAAACTGAAAGTTAAGTAACAGCGGGGAAAAGCCAACTTTAAAATAGCCAAACATTAACAGCTAAGTAACGGAGGGGGGGGGAGGATTCAATAGAAATAGCCAAACACAGACAGTTAAGCAACAGTGGAAACAAAGCCAACCTAGAAATAGCCAAACACTAACAGCTACATAATAGCAGGGACAAAGTCAACCTAGGGATAGCAAAACACTCACAGTTAAGCAAGAGGGGAAACAATTCAAGCCTATAAATAGCCAAACATTAAGAGCTAAGTAATAGTGGGGGCAAAATCAACCTAGAAATAGCCACATATGACAGCTAAGTATTAGTGATGGCAAATCCAACGTAGAAATAGCCAAACATTAACAGTTAAGCAAAAGCGGAAACAAAGGCAACCTAAAAATAGTCAAACAATGACCGCTAATTAATAGCGGGGACAAAGTCAACCTAGAAATTGCCAAACACTCACAGTTAAGCAACAGTGAAAACAAAGTCAACCTAGAAATAGCCACATATGATAGCTAAGTAATAGTGGTGGCAAATCCAACGTATAAATAGCCAAACACTAACAGCTAAGTAATAGCAGGGGCAAAGCCAACCTAGAAATTGCCAAACACTCACAGTTAAGCAACAGGGGAAACAATGCCAACCTATAAATAGTCAAACATTAACAGCTAAGTAATAGTGGGGCAAAGTCATCCTAGAAATAGCCAAACACTAACAGCTAAGTAATAGTGGTAGCAAATCCAACGTAGAAATAGCCAAACATTAACAGTTAAGCAAAAGCGGAAACAAAAGCAACCTAAAAATAGTCAAACAATAACCGCTAATTAATAGCGGGGACAAAGTCAACCTAGAAATTGCCAAACACTCACAGTTAAGCAACAGCGGAAACAAGGCCAAACACTGTCCCCGCTAATAACTGGTGGCCAAAGTCAACCTAGAAATGGCCAAACACTGACAGCTATGTAAGAACGGGCAAAGCCAACATAGAAATATCCAAACACTGACAGCTAAATAATAGCGGGAGCTAAGCCATCTTAACAACAACTAAACACTAACAGTTAAGTAATAGGGAGGGACAAAAACAACATAACAATAGACCCAGTATACGACACTAATAAATTGTAATATATACTTTCTGGTGGTGCTAAAAAAAAACGTTAGATAATGTTGTAGTAGTAATAATTCTAATTGGAAATTACAATGTGTTTACCACGTTCACAGATAAATGTAAATGTCACTACTTGAATAAAATCAGCCTCGAATATAGGCAAGGTTATACTGTGTTACAATCTCGTTTTTGGGTGATTATATATTTTATGATTTAACATAACTTTAAAGCTCCGACATGGTCCGTAAACAGAAAAAAAACATACTTGATATTGTAATATGGTAATACACACGATCGACAAGATATCTACAGACACAAAACAGCAAAAACAAACAATAAGGATAAACAATGCACATATATCTTTGTTATACTTGGTTACTTTGAATCAAAACTCAATAATGCTGTCACTGCTACTAAGTGGACACAGTCTTTTTACTTTTATCCTGCCACCAGGAAAAACCTAATCTGAACGAAAAACGTCAAATTTTATTAAGAAACAAAAAGACACGTTTGTAGCTTTCGCAGATCTAGAGATGCAGTAATAAATGTACGATAGTTACCGTTAAAAAAGATATCCATTGTTACAGCAGTAGATGGATGGTTTCATCGTGACTTTGTCAGATTAACAGCGGAGCAGAAAAAAAAGACTTGTTTTATTCAGGAGAAGACCAGCTAACAAACATTTTCTTTTTCTGTTACACATATAGAACAAACAAGGTGCCATGAACTACACTTAGAAAGGATAGGTCCGTATGGTCAATGACTAATGTCAGTTCTTTACCACAGTCATTTAGAAGTACGCTGCGCCGCCTAGTGGAGGCCAATGTCAGATAACTCACGTTCAATAACTTTTGCAAATACAGCTTATATAACAACATGCAAAAGGCGTGGGTAAGTGGCAAATTGCTCACACAGTAATGAACAGAAGCACTGCGCAGAACAAGCCAGTCAATATTTGTGAATAAGATATAACTCCAGGTCGAAACCTACTAACTTCTACGTACAAATCAAGGTTGTCAATCAATGTAAGTAAACACTGACGGTCACTGATTTATAGCTGCTTTCATCATTAAACTTCTTTAATTTGTAGATTTTGACTCCACTAACTTCTACTAACATGCCACAATTTGTACTATAGGCAGTCACAATAATACCGCACGTGTCTTACTTTCACATTAGTCTTTTATTTTAAATGGTTTCTCTTGATGGCACTAGTAGTCGATAACATCAAGAGAAACTATATTGTGAAGGAGAATCTACACATACCACTCCTTAAGCTCTTTTATGTCCTTTTTCTTAGGGAGTCTGTGGGCCTTTTCCGTGGGTTTCAGTGCGCCGTTGGCTTGTTGTTGGCCACCAAGAAGGGCAGGGCTGTTAGAAACGGGTTCAAATCGGTAATCCTTACCCTCATTACGTTTATATGCGCCATCCGTTCGGTTTCGTAGCTTGTAAACAATCAAGGCTATTAAAACTATAGATATTAAAACTCCTGCGATGATCCCAATCACTAGAGCTGTGTTGTCCGCAGAGCTCTTAGGCTTCTTGTTTGGCTTCTGCAGGCCCTGGTCTTTCTTGGGTATATCCGGGATAGGTACTTGATATACTGATGGAGGATTACGTGTTGAAATATAATTTATAGGCCGCCAGGTAGTTGATGCATTCCATGCTTTGACTTGAGCATCACCTTTGTTTACCACGTTCCAATAACTGGTTGTAGAAGAAGGTGGGAGAAGCTGAGGTGGAACAGGCGAAGCTGATGGCGCTGGCTCTTGTGATATAGACACACCTTTTTCTGGTATGTAATAATTAATGGGTGGATTAGTGATGACAAAACCCTCAATGCCTGAACCCTCTCCACAACCCTCTTCGTCATCGCACAGAGTCTCATCACTGTGCCTTATTTCTACTGGTCGCTGACTTACTCGAGATGATGGGTTTGGTGTCGGATGACGTGGTTTGTGGGTGGGCGGAATGAAGATAGGAGTGATAAGGTCATCACCTAAAATGCATAAGATATACTTTTCATTAACTATATTACAATTCAATGAAACATTATCCTTCTATTCTCATATAGTTGTTAAGAATGTATATTTGCTGATGAAAAGTTTGAAAAACTGCCACAAACACCTTCGGTATTTACTAATGCCAGTAACTAATATGGTGTTCTAGATCTAACAAAGATACTAAAATCACATTTGGCTGCACATTATTCGTGGTTAGGTGTTATTTTACGAATTTCGAATCATAAGTGGGTGAAGTAAGTGTTTCTAAATCGAACTAAAAAAACATTTTTTTCTTTTTATCTGACATTACTACTTACTTTGAATAAAGTTTAACTTACTCTTATTAAAGAAATTTTCTTCATAGTGTGATTAATGTTTCTAGTAGAATATAAGAGCACAACGGATGTTTTTGTCAGCTGTAGTTTTCTAAATGCTTTAAATTTTTTGACAAACAGTACTAGTCTTAGCGTGTAGAGGGAATGTGACATTTAGTAGTAATGCATGTGTGTGACACAACTATATAACGTTATCGCTTTAATACATTTCTTCTTCTGCTCGTGGTGAAAGCACAGCTGCTAAATATTGATACATTCTCCTACACAAGTGAGTTGAATCATTTTCCAACAGCTGTTGTCGTGGTTATACACTCTGAAGTAAATAAAGTTGACTATTGCCACAAATACGGTACCAAACAAGACAAAGAAAAACTTAGTTTCCTTTCATTGTGTAGAGGCAAAGATCCCATAAAAGAATAGTAGTTCAAATGTAAATAATTTGTTAATCAATAAGTATCAATTAGAGTTCCAATATTTATACTTGTAATTTTGAATTTCCCCTTTGATTCATATTTCAACTTTCACTTGTTAAAGGTAATTATAGAAAGGTTATACTAAGAAATACCGTAAACTACAGTTTGCTTTACGGAAAAGTCAAAGAAAGGAGTTAGACAGTTGCTTGCAAAATGTTTCTGAGAAAAATTAGCTGATATTAAAGTAATATTATGAAAAACAGACACCATCATAAAAGCAAAATGAAATAAAAATCGAAGTTAAAAAAAACTTCGATCTAGATGATGAAAGCTCCAGACTTAAGAGGAAACTAAGCTCCAATAGAAAAACAAGCGCGCCAAAAGTAATTTAAGCATCAAAGCTAAATGTTTAGATTCTGACCCCAAAGTTAAAAAAACAAAACATTTTACCGTTGTTTAAAATAAAAAGGACAATAACTCAACTTTCAAGATAGAATAACAACAGCTACCGGATATACCAAGTGTTTCTTTGAGGTAAAAACTCTACCAAATGATACTTTGAAATAAAATTGTACCTGGTTCAACCACTATAACTCCACAGTTGTCTTCGTCATCAAAACATCCAGATCCTGCTCCAGAAAACACCAGATCATCACCGCTGTGAGCGAATCTAGATAAAGGCTGTTGGAAACAGAAACCGAGATTTAGATTATTGATCATATAAAATAAAACTTATTGCAGGTCTCTTTCTGGCTGTCCTGGTGCCCGAAGTTGATCCCTTTTCATTTGTTTTCCAATGTAATTAAGTACAAAGGATATCTCCTTCTTGGAAATTATAAATCCTCGATCTGAACAAATCTTTGTGATCTGAGTGTACGAATATTTTATGTCGGAAAGAACTATTACATACCCTCCCCAAATGCGATCAAATTACAGTGGCATCACACTAACTACGAATGCCAAACAACTTCAAAATGTCGTTCTGATACATGTCGTTCCATCACGTCTTCACAATGGCTATGATTGTCAGGTTATTTGCTGCGTTGTATATTTAAAATCGTTTAAATATAACGTAGTCAACTATCTGTATTACACAAGTAAAGAAAACACTTTTCAAAAAAGGAAGTAAATGTAGGAATGCCAATAAAGACAAAAATAGGACAAATCAAACTCAATTATGATTGAATAGTTATATATATTGCTATATGTTAATTCTTGCCTGTGCTTTTATGTAGGGATGATGCAAATGCCATCCTTGCTATCTTGTTTGCATTGGTTTTGAAGGATTGATATTAGCCATCCTTACATTTACTTCCTTTTTTGAAAGGTTTTTCTTACTAAATAATAGACATGGAAAGCTCAGTGCTGGTTAAATCTGCAGTGAAACAGAAAATGTATTCAAGTGTTTAGAGTATTTCACAATACACTGAAGTGTGACCACCCTTGATTTCTAAACAGATTGCTGAACTAAAAATTTTGTTAAATTATATAGTTATATCAAAGTGGATTGAGATAAGCCATCCCTACATTTACTTCCCTTTTTGAAATTTTTTCTTTACTCGTTTATTTGTTTTCTAATGCAGT